TGTTTATGACCCAGTATAAGCTGGTTGGTTTACATTCATTTCCCTTGCCCTTTTGATGCAAACTTGTACTGAGATAGTTGCAGAGTTAAAACACAGCTGAAGGTACATAGAGCTTAAATGAGCCCCAGCTTTGCTAAATGGCTGCAGAGCACTGGCTCACTGAATCTGCTCTAGGCTCTGATGGATTCTGGGCTCACTGCATAGCCTAGGGGATCAGATTTTCACCTCCTCTCCTCTGGGTGGAGGATGTTTTACTCCCCTTGCTCTTATGAAGTTACGCCCATCCTTCCATTGCGTACTGTTCTGCAGGATGAGGTCATCTGAGGCTGTGGTGCCTTTCTGCTTGGCAAAGAAAAGACAGAAGAGATGCAGGGACATGAATACAAAGAGTGGAACTGTTTTTTTTATTGAAAAAAAAAAATGACCACAGAGGGGAAAAAAAAGCCACTGCAGGTATCTTTTCACAGCCAACACTGCCGGTGTTTTTACAGTTCCTCCACTTAATACAAACATTATCAAATTCACAGTCTAATTCCAGCAGGGGATGAAACCTTACAAATAACCCCTTAGGTGAACGCCAGGGCTGATGAATAGGTTATAACCCAGCAAGTGGATGAGAGAGGGACCCTGAGTTACCGATGAAAGAAACATCGGCAGAGCTGTGTGACAAACACCAAGACTCAGAAGGAGACTGCATTGCACTCAGTGATGAGGTGCAGGGCTCATGGCATCCCTCCCTGCACCTCATCACTCACCTCCTCCTGTAGCCTGAGGGTAAACCAAGGCATCTGTGCTGTCCCTATACCCTTTCTTTCTCCATCTACAGACAGGACCTATCACGGTGCTGCTGAGCGCAGAGCACAGTCCTACACATATTTTTTTTTTCCTTGGGACGAAGCTTGCTTTTTAAAAAGAAATATGGCTCAGTTATGACAGGAGAGCCACACATTGCTTGAGTTATTCCCAGGCAGTGATGATTCTGTTCAAGCTTTTATGCACTTCGACTTCGTGTGCCATCATCCCTTTTGGGCTGAGAGTTTCAAGTCCCAGTAATTCATTACTGAAGAACACACAGCGAAGGACAAACCAGTTTGTTATTTGCTATGTTTTTCAAAGATTCAAGATATTTATCAGCAGCAGGGTTACTTTCCATTGGTATTTCTTCCCTACTCTGGTTTAAATCACAGCAACGAGATACACCCCTTTTCCCCAGCCAGGAAAATTACAGAAAAAGGAAACAGCCCCCTTACAGGAAGTTCCTGCATGCGTAAAGAAACCATCCACACACCTTCATCTCCTCCTGAAGTCCCTCCAAGCAGCTGCCAGGCCACAGGCTGGAGGTTGCTCCCAGACCTGTCTTCACTGTCTGCAGAGAGAGCTAATTGGATTCCACTTGTAAATGGAGATAAATCCCACCCACAGTTTCTGAGTGGAAACGTATGGAAGCAAGTACTGGGAGTTAATTCAAACCCCCACTCAGTCTGCAATCCTTTAACCACCCTGCTGCAAACTTTTCACTTACATTTTATCAGTGGGGTGCTGAGGGTTATATGAAGTTCCTACAAGATTTGGAGAAGGTGTGGAGCACTTAAGTGGTCATTCACAGAAATGTTGCTATGGAGGTGGAGAAGCAGCTATTTCTAGGTCTTTTTGGACGATATTTGTATGTACAAACGCTGCAAAAACAGAGGAACTCTGATTAAAAGTCAGTGCCACACCGTAGCTCATGATTACATGCTCAGTTAAAACCTGAAGTGAACACAGCTCCAGGAATCATATTAATCTATCGTTTAATTAAACTACCTAAGCTACCTTATTAAATTGCTATCTTTGTAGAGCAGTAACAAGAAAGTCATATGAAAGACAAGATTTATTTTATGTTGTCATTGGCTACTCATAACTAAGGGGAAAAGGCAAAGATAAGCATTAGTAACCTTCTTGTTTGGTTGCTTTATCATCGGTGGGAAGTATAATTAGTAATTGAAAAGGTGATGTAGGCACAGAACATACTTAAAAGGATGCCATTTAAAAGGATTACCATCACAGTTGTGCCAAAAATCCATCTGTCTGGCAGGAACATCATCACAGGGTACAAAATGAAGGGTTTGTCAGTAAGGTGCCTCCCCCCGGTCTGTGCCACATCCCTGCCAGAACAGCAGTGAGCCACCAGCAGCTTCAACGAGGGCTGGGGCTGAGGCTCTTTATCTAGGAGCCCATTCTGCCCCACAGAAAACTTCAGGGCGGCTGTAGGATAGGAAACAGTCCATACCAGAGACGGGCTGCTTCAGACTGTGGCACAGCTACTGTATAAACAGATGTGTACATAATTCAGGGATAGAAGAACTCTGGGTTTGGTTTCATCCTTTCTTTGATATGCGGATTAAAGGCTCAGAGTCACAATCACATAATCGCAGTGTAATAAGTGACCAAGCGATGGCTGGTTGGTAGGTACTCAATTTCTTGGTCTGTGGCGTATCTGGAAACTCACAGTCTGCAGCTCCACAAAGCTAGAGATTAGCTTTATAGATAAAAATGCTTTAGAGTGGGAACTTTGATGCAGAAACACAATTTCCAGAAGATTTGTGAAAAGACATCAGAGGCGCTGCATGCATTTTATACTCTGCTTCTTAGTGGAGTGTTACCTTGAGTAGTTGTGCTGGGCTGCTGTGAAGAAGACAGAAATTCTGCTTTGGACAACTGAGTATACGTGTGTGAAAGTTTTTCATAAAACATGCCATTGCAAGTGACTGTAATGGGCTTTATTAGCACAAAAGTTCAAGCTCAAATGCTCCCTCATCTATATCAGCAACGCCATTTCTCTAAAAACCTTTCCAGTCTATGCTACATCTATTTGAACAGAATACCAAACACGTTTGACTTTCTGATAGCTTGATACTTTCACTTCAGCTGACTTCAGGAGGTGGACGTACAAACCCAGCAGTTACAAAATCCCCTCGGACTCAAAGGATGAAGTAATTAGCTTGATGTATCAAGACATAATTCAAAGTAGAAAGGCTACTGCTGAGAGAAATGGATTTGTTTAGTTTAAATTTTTGGCATCAGGAGATATTAACAGATATTTGTCCAATTTTTGAGGTAAAACTAGAAAAATGCATTTTATGAAATTACTTTTAAACTGTATTTCTGAAGAAGGTCTAAAATTTACTTGCTTAAACAGTACTTCTGTTACAATATTTTTACAAGCTAGGAAAAGTAAGAAGTATTTCCTGAAGCATAATTTAACAAACATAACAACTTATGTGCCAAAGGAAATTCACTGCTGGTGTTTCTTAAAAGCTTCACAAAACTGAGTAAGCAGCATTATCCTCCCCAAGCTCACCAGGCTTCATCAGCTTTCAATTGCTGAGGACTTGCCAACAGTTTTTGAAGTAAAATCCATATAAACAAAAGTACTAACGTGTTTAAAATGTAAATGCTTTTTGGGGTAGATAAAGGAAGAGATTAAATACCTCCGTTTGGCAAAGTGGTGTCCTGCCCAGCTTTTAGGAGCTGTGCCTCATATGGGATTCCACAGCTGAAATCAGGTGCCTATAAGAGTGGCAAACAAAGGTAAGGTCCAAAAAGTAAAGGTGGTACACTGGGAAAGGGGGAGTTCTTAGTGAATACGCAATGAGAAGGAAAGCAGCTTTTGTTTATCAAAATTCTGACTTTAGATCCCTTCCTGAAGTGGATGCGCAGCTCTGACATTCATATCTTGAACCTCCTGTAGGACCAGGAATCCACAGGACTGTGCCAGTTCTGCCAAGGAAAACATCTCAAGAGGAAAGCACTGCTGGATGGAGACCAAACTTTTCACCCAAAGATGTTTTTTAGTCTAGATCTAAATCTCCATCATCAAGCATAAATGTATTCATTTTGTAACTAATTCCCATTACACCTTCCTGCATGTCCCTGAGGCTCCCAAGTCCCCATCTTTCTGACTCCTCCATGGTCCAATTCATCTATTGCCAGGGTTGTTCTTCTGTCATTTTAATCAGTCTCAAATAAGATCTCCAAAACTATTCAAAGCAGTTCTCATGGTAAAAGTACATGGTTCTCATCAGCTCCATTTTCATGATGCAGTAAAATGAGAACGCAGCCCTGGTCAAGTTATCAATTCTTTTATTTTGTTCTAGTATATCTTCTGAAAATTATACTGTGATTATATTTAAAAATTGCATCATGCTATTATACTTAGCTTTTACCTAACAGAATAGTTCATATTAGCATAGTAACAGAACTGATAACAGCTACTGATTTTGTATTCACCTTGCATGGGAGCAGGAAGAGGGTCGATAAAAACAGCTCACAAAGATCACGTGCTCTGATTAAAAAGCCATACAGATCTCGTATGGGAGGAAGGTGTCCCATTACTATCTTCACTAAACGTGATTAAACACTTTCCAGATACGTCACTTATTTTTGTCAAAACAGTCTTTTGTAAAATAATTTCTTGTAGGGAGAGGCAGAGGATGGAATATTCCATTACGTGACTTTTAATGTTAAATATAAACAGAAGGCTATAGAAGATGGAGATAGTTTGCGTCTTAGTAAACTGTAGAAAAATATCCATTTCTAACCTTCTTCAATTTAACCACAGTGGTAGGAGAAAGACACATCTCTTGGAGGGGGTGACAATAGGATATAGGAGCCAGAACAGCTCTGAAAAGGACAGGTAAGAACTTCAACCTGATTCCATGTGTGGTTTGTCATGTTGCACTGAACAATCTGAGGACTTCAGAACATTCAGCTGTGAACGATGCCCCTTAGTGGTTGAATACAAACACTGTTGACAGAAGTAACAAATTTAAACACTGAAAAAATATATTTGCATTTATTAAGTGAGAACAAAGGATTTCAAACAGTAACATATGCATGGAAGAGTCTACAAAACCATGTTTACACAGAGCGTTGGACAAACACTAACCAACAGTAAAAGAACATTGCTGAATAAGCTATTATATTGAGTAAGAAGAACAAGAAAACAGGGGAAAAGAAAGGAAGGTTAATCTCTATTTTAATCAGCATGCATATTTTGCAGTGAGGGTTTCTGCAGAGGAATACAATCAGATGTTTAGCTCTACAACAAGACTCAGCCCAAAATTTTTACTGATCCTTTCTAGAGTAGAGGGTTTCTGTGCAGGATTACAAAGTCATCTGGACTGCTGTCACGGTTCCTTTCCAGCAATGTAGTGATGGCAGAGCCTTCAGCCATCTCTGCTGCTGCACAAAGAAATCAGCATGTGCTACAACGCACACACATTTCTATACAAAAGGCATTGAAAAGTTTAAGATTCAGTGTTAACAGTTAGAGTGCACAATTCCTGTAACTCACACAGACGTGTATTTCTAGTTAGACATAAACATACAAACAGCCTATGAAAGATTCTCTTTATCTGGTTTGACTCTTATCATGAGGAATGTATTGTTTCTGACTTTCCTTTTCAAAACCAGTCTTCATATAGGAGTCAATTTGCTAAAGCAGGAGCAAGGTGATGCCAAACAAGCACGGCACCCTCATCCATCTGCTTACATCTACTCTGATTTAAACTGTATTATATACATTTGGATGTTTCTTTATGTATACACTGGATAACAAACAAAATCAAGGAATCACAGAACTGCAGGGGTTGGAAGGGACCTCATGAGACCACCGAGATCCACTGTATTTACAAGTTCCTGGAAATCTGACTTCCATTAGTCATGATACTTTTTTCTTCCCTGGAGAAGTCTGTATTCTTTCATCTTTTTTAACTCTGCATGTAGAAATCGAGGCTGTAACGTGTCTCATTACCTCCACACCAGCAATGGAGACAGAAAAGCTACTCATCAGCATTATTGACACAAGCATTTACTTCTCAGGTCACATCTCAGCACAGCTTAAAGGGTCACAGAAAGTCTCTTCTGTTGAGCCAGCTGGTGTGTACTGTAGCTGGAGAGACTGATCCCAAGCGTGCCCAGGAGCAAGGCTGCCCGTTGCAGCAGTACGTCCGATGAGTTGATAACTATCTTTCCTGCAGCTTGAGTCTATAGGGAAAACAGAGCAAGTTATTATGCTGATTCTGCTGATTTCAACAGAAAAACTCCTAATTTCAATGATGCTTTCTAGAATGGTAGTTATAAATCCAGGAAAGTAAAGCTAAAAGGGATCAGTAACATCTTTCATTAGCTCCATAGGTAGCACTGGATCAAACAGACAAGCTTTAACACAAACTCTTTAAGTGTAAGAAAGCAGCAGGTAACGCCAATCAAAGTAAAGATAAATAGTTCATTATTTATCAATTCTCAGAGTAACAATAAGAAATTAATTGCCTAATGGAAGTATATGATACACCAAGATGAAACATAATTGCATGGATTCTCTATAAAGCAAAACAATTTCTTACATATATTGACAATGTGAATTAAAACATACTGTGCATCTTTCTAGTTGTGGCATTTCTTACACAAAACCTTCATTCTTTAAGCTTTCCTTTGCAATCAGCAGATGGAAAGTGTGGCACCACTGAAACAATTCACAAAGTTCCCATTTCAAGGAACCTAAGATTCACTTCCAGATTCTGTGTGAGCTTAAATAATCAGAGCTCAGTGCTCAACTGTAGTTAACAGTGTGGCTACTTTAGCAAAGGCATAATGTTCCTTGAACATTTCCAGGTACACTGAGCCAACACCACCCTGGGCAGATCAATACTATTGGCGGCTTCTTTATCATCCTTATGTCCTTATACATAAGGAAGAAATTCTTCACTCTGAGTTGGTGAGGCACTGGCACAGGCTGCCCAGAGAAGCTGTGGATACTCTATTACTGGAGGTGTTCAGGGCCAGGTTGGATGGGGCTTTGGACAATCTGATCTTGTGGGAGGTGTCCCTGCCCATGGTAGGGAGGGGTTGGAACTAGATGGTTTTAATTCCAAGCCAAACCATTCTGTGAGTCTGCAGTCATTGTCATAGAAGTTGGTTGAACTGTTTTACCGAGAACTTATTACAAGGTCTTCAGAACCCCACCATTCTCATTCCTATTAATGTTATCCTACTGCCCCAAACACACAATCAAAAGCGATAGAGAAGCACTGCAGAAACACAAGTTTCTTTTAAGTACCCTGCACTTGGTATTCCAACATGATACCAATTATCAAGAATTATCGTAATTCATTTACTTTCCAGCAGAAGCTTAATTAAGACCTCTTTGAGTTTTTATGAATGTTAACCAAACAGAAGCCAGGGCTCCCTTGGGTTGGTCAGGCAAAAATTTGAAACAAAAATCCATCTGAGCAAGAAAAATATTTCAACAAACTAATTAAGAGCAGAAAAAGAGTTGGAATTTTCATACCTGCAGCAACCTTATATACCCAGGTGTCATTCTCCGCAGGGGGATAACCATTATTTCTAAGTCTTTGTTGAATTTCAGTCCCTGCAATTTTAGAACACAGAAAACATTACTAACTCCCAAGGACTTTCTACACTGACCTTCAAAGGAAACAAAGATTAAATTTAATATGCTTTGTTAGGAGTGCCAGAGTACTCCAAGAAGCAACATGCACAAACATTTTCTCCTTACCTGGTGCTCTTTTCCCTGTAGGTTCCTTAAATGCTAACATCGTACTCATATATAAAGCCCAGCTGAGTTGCATAACCTGTCACATGTGATCCGTCTGCAAAGCTTAGGTGTTGGCAGAGGCTGCATGTGTCTTGCCTGGGGCTAGGTATGTCTGCAATATTAGAAAGCTCTCTGGGAATGTCTGAAGCTCATTAAGAAACCAAAGCAACAGCTGACCTCTCTAAGAACAACAAGGCCTAAGCCTGTTTTATAGATAGCACTGGACTTAAAAAAAGAGGTCGTTACAGCATTTTGTATCACAGACTAACAATGCAAATAGGATTGGATTGCTTTTATGTGACTTAGAGTATACGTTTATATCTGTAGGACAACCTATGTAGGAAGCTTTATTCAGCCATGACCCAAGTTGAAAGGATGTGTTAATAATATAACAAGGTTATTTGGAAGCACATTTAAAAATAATCTTTCTTTTCTGGGAGCGATCTCCTTTACCTGGTATGATGCATGTTCTTGCCTCCCTTTTCAACTGCTGAAGCCTTACCTCTAGAAAACACCTAATCTAATATTTATTTTTACTATTAGTACTACTTTCTCTTAACTGTGATTCCTTTGCAGTGAGCTTGGACTCAGTTCAGCTCCTGGGGTGGTAAAATCTGATCTATAAAATCCATTTGTCTTTCTTTAAAAAGTTTCCATGGATAGACTGCAATGACAAAACTCTTCCTTTTCACCATCAATAGATGCAACCTTGAGTAAGGATAGCAAGGCACAATTCAGCTCCAGTTAGTCACACTTCTAAGCATGTAGGATAAATCTTCAGGAGATGTCAACCAGCACAGCACCAGTGTGCTCTGCGAGACCACATCAGCGTACATCAGAAGCGCTTGACAGAACAGTGCTGATTTACACCCCTCCAGGCTCTTTACTATGGCATTCCAAAGTTCTGTAACATTCCTGCCATAAACCAGCAGAAAAATGAAAGTTTTCTGCTTGGAGAAATATTCTACATTAGACATTCTGCAGTGATATCAGTTATCAAGAATTACTGTAACTCGTTTACTTTTCAGCTGGTGTTTAATTAACGTGATAGAAAGGAGTGATGCTACTTTATTCTGAGGCTCTGGCTTGTGGGTAGATTTCACCTTTCTCTTGCCACACCACATTTATATCATATGAACTCTGTTAGCATCAGTGAAGTTATATCTTATCTGCTGAAAAGCTAAGGTAAGTTGCACTGGTTCTATAGCATAAATATAAATATTAAGCAAATTGGGAAATTGCTAATCTGGTCCTTTTAAAATACACAATTGAACAGTGGTCCTTTGCTAAATCTTAACTGTTGCGTGTCTCAGCTGTAGGAAATATGTTGATTGTTTCTCATTAATGCAATAAAATGGGGAGCTCGCTGAAAGACTTCATAATTTGGGTTCACATTATCATAACAGGAGACACCACTGAAACACAGTGCGTTAGTGAATGTAAGTCACCGTGTCTGTACAAACAAATTCAAGCTTAAAATCTACACTGGAAAAAGGCAAAGCCTTTTCTTCTTGTTTCTGTTTCTCACAGTCTGCCAAATGTTGTTCTTTGTGTACAAGAAAAGCACCCAGGATTGCTGCTCAGAGCAGGTTCCTAAAGCCTGCATTTGTATGGAAATAAGGAATGCAGGTTTTTTCCTTTAAATTTCCCATCTTGCTCACATTCAAAGCAGTATCACAATTTCAGTAGAGTTCAAAAGGCATTACTAATCATGTTTGTACCTGTGTGATTTTTCTAGTTCAGAGAATGACAGTGGGGAGGAGGGCTTCCTGGGGCACTGTGTTCACACAGGGAGAACCTCCCATCCAGCATCCTTCTGCTAAAAATAAAAGGGAAACAGGATGCCTTGAATGCCACAGATCTTTTAAAAGTTATTTCTTGGCTGTGCTCAACATAGTTAAAGAGAAAAATGTTTTCTGTAACTGAAGGTGTTACCAAAATCTGTATGACTTTCCCAAAGAACCACTGAAAGGTCTCTGAAAGAACCACATGCCTGGCTTCTACGTTATTTCAGTTCTTTGAACAAACAGAAGTCTTCTTCAGTTCCTTTGGAAGTTCACATCTCAGAAAGGAACCATGACTGCCACATCAGCCAGAAGTTCTGCAGAGCTACAGATCCCCTCCACAGTCACTTCTGGGTTGGGCTGAGGGAGCAAGACAACCCCAAGCAGTGCATGGCTCTCGTTACAAGAGAGATTTGCTCTCTTGGCAAATACACGAGGATCCTGCTAGCAGAGCAGACTGCTCACCTCATTCATCTACTGGCACCTTTGTTGCTTGATAGACAGTTTTCTAATAGGCAACAAGCAGGCACAAATGCAAATTACATGCTGACATCCTCCCTTCCCTCCCCATTCCAGAATTAAAGGTGAGGAATTCTTTGACCCAACTCATCTGTATTTACAACCTTGTGTTCTATTCCATTAAGAGGAGGAATCAATGATGAAATTAAATGTTTCTTGATGTAAACCCATGCCTTCAGGATGAGCATGTGCTGCTTTCCCAAATGCAGTAGGAGTCAACTAAGGTGAACAACTTATTTGGACATACTTGGAAATTGGAAGGAACCTCAAAGGCCAACTAGTTCCAGCCCCCCTAGCGTGGGTAGGGACTTCTTCCACAGGACCAGGCTGCCCAGAGCCCCATCTAGCTTGTGCCAGTGCCTCACCACATCTTTCTCCTTCCTGAAGCAGAGGGAGAGAAGAGCAATGCAAGCTGGTAGTGTGCGAGAGACAGAGCATAGGAACAGCAGCTGGCAAGAGCAGCATCTTTCACCCACAGAGCTGCAGCGGCACACAGGAGCTCTGCAAAGGATGCTGAGTTGAGTTCACATGCATAAAGATCCATCAGCTGAGTCTGCAGCTGCCAGCAAACCCCAAGTCTAATATGGAGAGTAAAAATGCAAACCACAGAGGAAGGGGAAGAAGAGAAAAAATAAAAATAGGGAAAAGTGAAATCTACTCATTGGCCATTGGGAAGAGAAGTGACAGGGGACCCAAGCAACAGATATCTGAAACAGATATTAGATCTGAGAGTACTTCCTCACAAATCATTCTATGAGTTGTTTAAAAATTAAAGCTAAGTTCAAAGGAATTTTGCCTGACACAAATGTAACTAAAAACACCAGCTCTTCAATGGTAAAAAGATTAGACCCCAACCCCACGAGCTCATCAAAGAAGGCCAGGGTCCTGCCCCAAAGTGATCACAATCCATTTAGAAGCAGGTGGGTGCCAACAGATGGAGGAGCACTGGGAAACAAAGAGAATATAGTGCTTGGCATGCAAGGCAATGTTCTCAGCTCACTCACAGTCAGACTGTTTCCAAATTCTTGTGGGCGTTGCAGCAAAGCACGGTGTTAAGGAGGGATCTGAAGGTAGTTAATGAATTTTAAGATGACGAGCCAGGCAAGAAACAGGAACAATGTTAGTCATAATGTTGCATTACACAGTACTATCTTTGTGGAGCACAAAATGAGGGAGCTGTATTGGAATATGTTGCTGGTGGAAGTAGAAAATGCTGTCAATAGAAGAGGAATGGAATACCATGTGGATAAACTGAGGCATAGATCACCAACTGTAAACAGTTCAGCCCTAAAAGTCATCTAAGGTTATGGATAGACAGTAGCAAGAGAGTTGCTGAGGCTTATGGAGTTACCAGTGAAACAGCATAAACTACTCCTTTATTTCATTCTGTGAACTGACTCGTTCACTTCCCACAGCTCCATTGCCAAGTGGTTACTTCTGCATTTGCAGCCTGCCTACCCACATTGCTTTGATGACATCAAAGGACAGAATAATAGACAAAAATTTACCAGCAAAAATCCCCCACATAATGGCAGAAAATCACGTTAATTTCTGCTATGGGTAAAGGAGAACAACTGCTCTGGAAGAAAATTGTACACTAGAAATTACTGCAGACTGTACCTGATAGAAATTGCATAATAAGAAGGAAAAAAAGAAAAGGAGAAGAATTGTCTCAAAAGACTTCTAAGAGACCTTACTAGGATGCCATTGTGGAAACAGGAGAAGTGATCCTGGAACTTTTTTTTTTTTTAAGTATTTCCAAGTAAAGATAGGTAAGCATTGCTGTCACTGGCAGTAGCACAGACATAGCACAAATGCATAAGCCCTCTGGCATGTGTTTCTGGGCTGGATTTCTCTCTGCTGTCTTAGACCTCTATAGCACAGATGTCTGCCTCTGCACTAGCTGAACTAGCTGCTTTAAACAGCCACCTCAGTATACATATTTTACATATTGATGTTGTGAACAAAAAGAAGTGATGATGGATAATACAGTGAGATGATGCAGCATGCTCAGATGTAGACATCAACAGTGTAAATGCAGTCACATGGATTGCTCTCCATTGATTATAACAGGGGAGTTCAAAGTAAACTTGGTATGAAGAAGAGCAGCATATTACCCGAAGAAATTATCTTGTTCAACCTTGCAAATGGAAGACTGGGAGGCATTTGATTACTTCCTATAAATGTAAAGGGAACAAACACCAGAGAAAGTGGAATGCTGCTTAGGCCAAAGGCTAATACAGCACTAACAAACAATACAGCCATGAGGAGATTTAGTGTAGAAAAAAGGCGGCTTCTGATGAAGCATGTGTTTCTGAAGCTTTACAGGAAAGAAAGCAGATAAAATAATTTTAACACGTAATTTGGCTTTTCTTCTGTACCCCAAGACCTTATGGTATAACATGGAAAGCTCATGTACTATAACAAAGCAGGTGCATAAATCTGTAGTAGATACCTGATTCATTATTAGCTGTGTTAAATCACAGACACTGGGGACCATATGACAAAAGC